TGAGGCTGGAGCTGAACAGCGCCAAGATGTCAAGAAAGTCAGTGGTGGACAAAAACAGTAGTGAAATCGTGCGCAAGTAACTGATAAAAATAAATGGCGCGCGCACTCCTGCGAGCACAGGGAGAGCAGTGGGTGTAATCGGACAAGAACACCGAGCGACAGGTGCTGTGATATGGTCGACGCAATTGATCACAGCTGATTTCTTATCGCCAATAATGTCCCTGTCCGTTTTTCAGCAGGTCCCTTGTTGTTATAGCCGTGAAGTGCGGCCGACGGGACCAATAAAAATGGATCGGGCAGTAAGGGGAACGACAGCATGAACGACTCCCGCTCGCTTCGAGCGCGGATATGTTGCGTCTGCAACCTGTCACCTGCTCGCGAAGGGAGAAGGGATCTCAACTGATCGCGGGCACTGCCTTAGCAGCAGTTTACATAACAAAATAACCCCAAAGACATTGAGTCAGTTTTTGTCATACGTTTGGGTCATCCAGGTTTGTTGTGATTCAGCCGTCCTTTATTGACCAACGTTTCGAATAAAATCGTCTTACGTCTCAAGGAATGCATGATCAGTCATCTTTCATAGCTTAATCGATTCGTGCTCCAGATCCCACTAAAGTGTCTGCAGCACTCACAACAAAACCCACGCAATGGAAATGAAGAAAAACCTCAACAAAAAAAAGCCGGACTTGTGGTCTGTGCCAGCCATGATTTCATTCATATTCAGTAAATGATTACAGAGTATATAAAGGAATGAAAGGTGAGGAATCACTGTGATGGACATGCATTTTAACTGACCAGCGTTAGTTTTCGAGCGGCTTTGAAATGCTTCCACATTCTTCTCGCTCTGATACCGTTCCAGTGGACTAAGGCAATTGCATTTAGTATTGGAATCATCGTCGAGGTGTTCCTCTACAGAACCCCTGACAAGTGGAGTGAGGCAACTCTCTTTTACTCTACCAGTCCACCTTGTTCTTCGTCGCGTATTTCCAACAGCCCTTCCCTCCAATGTGCATTCCACACTGTTCGGAAGACGATCCCCGCGACCAAGTGTTACGGATAATAGCTGCTCAGTCATCAGTCATGAACCAGTAGCCCAAAGTACCCCTCCCTATAGAAAAAACGAGAAACACTTCTTGGAAAACACTTTCTGAACACATACCCCTTAGCAGTGCAGCATTGGAGGAGCTTTGTAGGGTGTGTCAAAGCCCTCATGCAGCAATACCCCAAGCCCAATTACAAAACTCCTCCCAATGCCATCCACTGCGAAGGCAATTAGGCCAGGAAATCACGCTTACACAGAGCGCTCAGGACAACTGCTTAGTTTGCACAAACCCACAAGTGCTGGCGTTGTGAGTTCTTGTCTGCACGGTAAAAGCAATCGTGGTTGCAATGGTGGCAGTAATTACGCGTCTCCAGCTTCCTTATCTCGCCAATTCCAGTGACGAAAGTGTCGGGAACTGTCACTCGTCTTGGACAGGACGAATCGACTTTGGTCGCTGAGAAGCAGCTGTCGTGTTCGATCTACGGTTCATATTCGGTTCCTGACTTTTCCCGCAGGAGTACTACTACAACGCCTAGTCTGGTAGTTGGTTAGTGACGATCTCTCCCGCTGACGACAGTTTTTTTTGAGAAAACTGGAAAAAGTGATTAGAAGTTGAGAAAATTTAGAATTTCTCTAGGTAGCATTTGAGACCACCTGGCAGCACGATAGAAAACAAGTTCAAAGGCAGTTAGCAAATCCCTAAGACGAGCAGGATCAATACTCCTGGCACACGCAGTTTCGCGCCCCTGAGGAGGCGCAGCGTGGCGCCTCCTCTAAAATATGTACCCTGATGAGATTCTATCAAGCTACAACATACCGATCCGAACGCCCACCGTGCCCGCTCGCTCACAAATGGAGGGTACCTGATGTGCGTGTGAAGTAAAATATGAAGCGAAGGGATTGGTATGAAGCGGTCGCGGTGCTGCATGGATATATGAGTACATACGTGCAGCCGTATCTACCGTAGCGGTTATTGGCAAGATGCCTACGGGAAACTCGTCCAAAATTGCTTTCTGAGTCATTAAGAACGAAGGCTTTTCTTCGCAGGTTTTTGACCGTTTCACTTCGTTTTTTCGCCATTTTCCCACTATATATGTAGCATCGTGCTAGCACTGTAGACCGAGCACAAAATTATTGTGCCAATTGCCTTTGAATGATTTTCGGTTAATTTCATGGATGTTCGGATCACGAAAGTTGAATCCTCCCCTAGTTGGCAGGAAAATTCAGTCTTGACAATGAGAAAATTTAGTTTCCATGTGCTGTATTCGATATGGTTTTCTCGTGGAAGCGGAAGAGTTAGGCCCATGGTCACTCTTAGGCTCATAGCACCCTCCAAGGGCCTATATGCGATGTTACGTCGCTAGGGTAGCGAACGCTGAATTGCGCGCATTCGTCGCTTTTAATTTGTAGGGCGTTATTGGCAAATAACAGCGGCTTTATAGGATCTCCCGAAATTGTTTTCTTCTATATATTCTGTTGTTCTGTTTTATTTGTTTTCTTCTCACTCTACAGTTTTCTCTTTATTCTGTATTTATCCACAGAGCATCGCTTTCAGCACTTCATTATGTAGTATTCTTCATAGTAAAAATATACTTCATTATTCTGTATTTACTCTACATAGCATCGGTTTTAGTATTAACTATGTGTAGTATACTACATAGTAGAAAGATTGTAATACTAATACTAATACTAATAGTAATAGTAATATTAATACTATATAGTATGTTATCACAAATTACAGATAAAAATAAACGCGACCAATTAAATAAGACAATGCTATAGAATATGACTGAAAACGAGTCTTTGGAACAGCTGCTCTAATCTATCCTCTGCTTGCAAAAAGCCAGCAACAATCGCGCACTTCGGGAAGAACTCGTCCGACCCTGTCTTCTCTTCACATTATGCACGTACGAGCTCGGTTTGGCACGGGGGGGGTCTTGCATAAGGCATTTCGTACGGTCTGCTTCTGATTTTTCTCATTATCTGTATACTCCCATGTCATACTTATTGGAGATCCATTGCCTTCCATATGTGATCCCGGGTCTCGCCTCTAAGCAAGTAATCAAATGTTCTGGTAAGCTTCGCTGTGTTCCGGTAGATCACATTGGGAACCGTTGAGAGGGAACACTCCTTGTGACACACTGCTTGTGCCCTTATAATTGCCTGAGTGACTCGAACGAAAACTGTTAGTCGCTTGTTGAGAGATGAGCTAAGCCAGGTCAGTAAGGCATATCCGGGGCGTTCAATTTTTAGGAGCGGTTTGGTGCGATCAGCTTTATCAAAGGCTCCGGATAAGTAAGTCTGACTCCCATCGACTGGTTTTAACTAATCGAGGTCTATGTTGCAGTAAAATAGGATATCAACAAGGTTCGTTGTTGTTGTACCACGTGGCAGGAAGCCGCGATGTTTCTCTTATGTGGCTTCTGACCCTATCTGACCGGGATAACTTCCTGTCTCTTATGATCCTTTTTTCATTACTTCGCTCGCAGTTGGCGTCAATCTTATAGAACGGAATTGAGATGCCAAATGTGCCTCTATAGTTTTGGGAATCTTAGAAACTGGTGGTCACAGGTCCAAAACTTAACTCGCAATAAACCGAATGGCATTTTTCGAGGGTCTTTTTGTAAGGTCAATGCTTTCGACATGGTAGCTCTTCGTAAAGCGACGTCTGGTTTGTTCACCGAGCGGCGTTGTATTGATGACAATGACAAGCTGTGATTCAACTTCAACGTTAAAGTTAGGCATCTTCTTGTTGGACGTTTTCAATGCTTGACAACTCTCCCTGAAGTGACGGGTGGTTTATGGGCGTGGCGATAATGTTAATTGCTCGATTTCCACATTGTGAAGTACATTGAATTACAATGAAGAATGCTGTCTAGAAGTTAACAGGGCGAATTGTGACCGAACACCACGCCATTGCGAGCACATTGTATTACTGCCAGAAAACCACTCAAATTGATTAACAACTTCTGTCGCACTTGTTAGTCTTCGTAAATTTTCTTTCCCTCTTGGCAGCGCGGCACCGATATTGTGGCTCCCATAGGCTGAATTTTCCCAGGATTTCGACTGTTCGACAGATTTTTGCTGCTATATGGTCTACCTGAGCTTTTGCATCCACTTACTCTTGTGTGCACCTTGATCAACGACGGCATTAAAGTAAACAATGAGTCGAATGCAGCAGAAGGAAAGCATTGATACAAACATCATTCTGCTTTTCCTTTCCTTTCTCGCTGAACTCTTCATGCCTCTTGTTCATGCCTCTCGATAAAATGAAGACATTGGCTTCTTCGCTTCGGTCCCATACATATTTGTCACTTTTCCGATTACTCGGCTCGGGAGGAGCATTTTGCGCGCGCACGCTCCGGAGATCATTCTCAGATCAGCTCGCGTCCCACTCAGTCCGCTGCCAACGCGTTACTCCCTTGCTAGTCCTTGAACCATATGGGTAGGAAAGATTAACTGCCAAATCCCAGTGCTTAGCCCACACTCTTAAATACTTGGTAGAGTTTCTAAAAGCTCTACTACCCACTACTTCTCTCCATTGCACATTTCTTATACCTTGGTATCGTCAGCATAAAGTTGTGATTTGATGTTTTCCAGAAGGTCGGTGGCTTTTAGAAGATCCAGTGTGCATATTAGAGACTAATGAGCCAAGTCAGTAATTTACCGCTATCCCGAAACATTCAATTTTCAGCAACAATCTGGTGTGTCCAACTTTAGCGAAGGCTCTGGTCACAGAAACATGGTAGCTTGCACAAGTTTGAGTGACTATCACTGGGGAGTAGGCAACCCCATCAAACTAAACAGCGCCGTCCACACCTGTAGACTTGACTCACACATCAACGTTCTGAAAAATGAAAAGCTAACCGAACATACTGACAAAAACTACAGAACTGAAGAGGGGCTTCTGTACATTACACTGGGGAAAACCAAGTGCTGCTGATTCCGATCTGAGTGGATGCCGACAGAACTCCCATACCATAAAGGAAACGACAGCTCTCGTAGGAACATTACAACACGGGTCGTAAACTCGGTACGTGTCTGTACTCAGGTTATTTAAAGTGGTATTCTTTGCTCCTAATGGGCGCAGTGATCGAATAATAGAAGGCATTCACTATGTGCAGTCGTAATCGAGCTTATGCAAGGTTGTCACTCTATTAGGCTCTCGTTTTGGCCTCTTCGCCATCTTTGAAACTCCTGAAAGCCCCAAAGTACTTGAGTTTAATCCTCACAAGGAGCAAGGCAATACCCTAGGCAATGTCTCTAGTCTGGGAAACCATCATAGACTCGGAGATCCTACAAGGCTTTTCTATATCTCCGTCGTCATGAAGACCATCCACGCCGCGGCCACCCATTATAGAACTTGGGGTGAGCATCCTCTTGAACTCACGGAGATCATAACCTGTGGAGGTCGAAAAAGGGCAGGTGCTCACGGCTGTAGCTACACACTCTTCCTTTCTATTGCTTTTAGGGCTCCTTGCAGAAATCGGGAACGCTCTCAGCCCAAAACTCAAGTTTCAGTGCCGAAAATGTAACTGATATTACATAGCATAAGTGTACTCATTCACTCTTTCACAGCGTTGCAGCGGCTCACAGTACAGTAACTCCAGTCATTCCCACCATTTCAACAAGATCATCTGCCAGGGGTGTGAACCAGGTTTCGTGACAATTGTGAGCACGCTTCCTTCCCATAAACGTACGGTTCTACACTGCACGTCTAAACTAGCTAACTTTGCTCATGAATTACCAGTTGACTTGGAAGCGACTCCATTCAATAAGTAATTTGTTTAGCAAGTTCTTTGAGATGTTCCAAACTGTGAGTTTTGACCTTTTCTATGATCCACTTTACCGTTCAATCAGCTTTTCCATGTACGATCTTGATCACGCTCTGTTACTTTGTGGGGATATCCATTCACTCTAATTGAATGTCTCCTGTTTCAGCGTTTTTCCAGCATGATACTCGAAGAGCTCGCAGCACTAATTCTTATTTTGGCAGTGGCTTCGTTCCAGAACTTTCCCCTAGGAATCGTATTAGGACTCATACTACTCACGCATCTAGTGGTTGCCCATAGAGATTTCCTCTATCGTGGCCTTCTTACAATGAATCGTGACATCAGGTGAGCACGAAGTCAGAGTAAGTGATATTAGTCTGATGGAGAAAAGCAAAATGTAGAGTTCTGATCTAAAATCCACAACTGAAATTCGATGGTCAGCGATCAATGCAAAAAATCACGGCGTCACAACCTACAGAATGCGATTCGGGAAGCAAACTTCAAGACTAGATCAAAATGTATTGTATACAACAAAAAACACATTAGCGACGTTTTTATAAAGAGCAAGTAGAGGACTTGTAAAAACCAGGTAAAAACAACCGCAACTTGATAAGAGAAGTTCATTGCTTCGAAAAAGGGGACTACTCGCAAGAAAATCTGGCTACACTTTCAATGAAGGTATATTCGTCACTCATAGAGCTTAGCCTTTATAAGGAATTCTAGGGAAGTGAAGAAGCACCATTTCGCTGCATTTTGTGAATGAAAAGAGCTGATCCGACCGTGATCAATGGATGGACAGTGCCGGCATTTGTGAGAGTGTCTTTTTGGCGGGAATGGCGGACGGCATGTTAAGCGCTACGAATCGTTTGATAGGCACCAAGCAACGCCTGGTCAGGGCACGGTGCAAGTATTTACACGAAGTCTGTCTACCCTGTAAGCCTAGTTGAGTTTTCGCGCTCGCTGTCTTCGAAAGCCTAGTTTCTCAACGTTTATGTCCCCCGAGAGAGGCTTTTCGAATACAGTCTTCGTTAGCCTGGTTCCTCGGGCTGGAAAAGAACCGCAGAAGCGAGTGGAGTGGCGACTACGTCCTGTGATAACTGTTGACGGCTCGGGACATCTGTCAGTGAAAAATGACAGTGGCACATTCAGCGCTAGCTAGAAGATGCTTCCCTCGATTTTAGGTCACGCCACACCTGAGCCATACTGAACCGCACCCGATAAAGTTTATCAGCTCATTAAGTCTCCCTTTTCAGTGGTCTGTTCCTGATACTTGGTCTCAGATTCGACTTTTGGAAGAGATTGCGAGAAAATCGTGGTCTACAAGAGATTTTCCTCGAAGTCGTCAAGAAGTAAGGTCAAAAACTTCCGCGGATTCCTTCGATTCTGTGTTTCCAGTGCGAGAAGCATAGCTCACAAATAACGAATTTTAGAAATGGCCAAAAAACTGCGATGATCGATATCGAAACTGGACGGACGTTTACATTTGAGACCTTCAATAAGGAATGCAATCGATACGCAAATTTCTTTCAAGTAACGGGACCGATTGAGTCTATGAGTTCCTTGTGATGATGGTGACATCATGCATTCGATACAGTATTCCAGGGACAAAATTTCCGTGCTGGCGATGTAGTGGCCTTGTTCATGGAAAATACGGTGGATTTCATTGCAGCATGGATGGGGCTGGCTAAAATCGGTGTGGCCACGGCTTGGATCAATAGCAACCTGAAGAGGGAACCATTGGCGCATTGCATTCGGATGAGTCGAGCAAAGGCAATCATCACCACACCACTACTGCAACCAGGTAATCGCAATAGTTTTGCCTTCATGAAAAAACGAGGCGCTTGAATTCCCCCCACTGAAGTCCGGAGTCACTATCTAAACTGGCTCGTAGCTCCTCTGGTCTTTATAATTGAAAACGCCGCTAAGGTACTCGTTGAGATTGCAGGCACCCCACACAGCGCCTTGATATCTCTTCCCCTAATCGAAACTCATACTCAGAGCTCAGACGGTCAAGTTTGCTTAGAAACTGTCCTCTCCTCAAGAGTAGCACAACGACTGACTGTAGGATGCTTGCTCTAGGATGTAAAGCGCTTCTTTTCAGTACGAGCAGAGACGCAGAGTGTTTCCTAGCTAGTTGACCAGATAGACAGAGGCACAGAGAGAGTGCTTCGCGTGGAGAGATGCAGACACAGAGAGGGTAGGAAGAGTGGACACTGTTACGTTGAGAGGTTCGGTCTTGTTGCGAATGTAGCGCACGTCAAGATGCATTCATAGTTTGCGGCAGTGTCCACCAGCGACCATCAGAGTTTCGAGCGTCCGTCAGCGTCACCGACTAGGAAAGTCTAGATATCTCCTATATGGAAGACTACCAATGTGTCTCGAGGAAGTAGGGAAGTACAGATATCGATCTACCTTATACCATCGTCCATCATCGACCAGGGATAAAGTGTATGAGGAAGTAGGAAGGTAGCAGACAACTGTTACAACATGGGGACGTAGAAGGGAGCAGACAGCTAGATTACCGTACTACTACACAATACTGTATTAAACCTGGTAGAGCTGGTAGATGCTGCCGTTCATTAGATCGATATCAATGCTTTACCAGTGGCTGACGCCGACGGACGCTCGAAACGCTGAAGGTCGCTGGTGGACGTTGCCGTGAAGTATGAACGCAGCCTTACTCAGCGACTGGAAAGCACAGCACTGCCCTCTGTGCCATACGCCTGAGCCTTGGTTGAGGGGAGAGGCCATGAGACGCAGTGAAGCTCAGCTCCTCTAGCTCCTCTTCCCCCTTCCTCAAATATGTAAGCGCCTGTTAGGCTGATGTGATCGAGTGATTTCGAATAATTCGAAAACTAATCAATGGCCGCCCTTTAAGCACTTCATGAAGCGATAGCGGATAAACTGCTCGATTGCGACGACTTGGCGTTATATGTCATCGGACAACCCGAAAATAACTCTCGTTTCGTCCCTTTGACCAGCAAGTTGAAAGATCAGCAAACTGCCGAACCACGACAATTGGATGTGGTTGATTTCAGAAGTGGGTTCGAAAAAGTTTTCTTCTCTTTCTAGATTCCTGTTCTCCTTGTTATCATTCCTAGAAAAGCAATCTATCAAAACTGTCCCGTTTCTTCAAGTTTTCTCCCAGTTCAGAGACCAGAAATTCATTTATCGCGAACATTATGAAAAAATCATAACTTGTCCATCCGGAGTATAGGACAATTTGGGGCAGTGTGGTGACGGGGGAGGGCATTTCGCACTTTTGCTACTTTCCCATCGACGTGTCGACCTTTTTAGAAAGCCATTTCGTGAGCTTACAAGCGTTACAGCTTTTGCCATGATGGTTAGACGAACTTGCTCACAAGAGTTTACAGGTTTCACCACAATGACACTTGTAAACCAGAACTAGTGAAGCAGCGAAATTGCAAAATGCCCCCCCCCCATCGGCCCGGAAACAACCTCGAACCACAGACGCTGGCCCTGATCTACTCGAAAAAGGGACTAACTTAAGTTGAAGTAGTTCAGTTATTTAACTTTGAATTAGGATACCAAATCACTTGGAGAACGGTATGAGAAACGCTTATCAGCGAAAACAACGGGGGGGGGCATATCTGTAAGCGCTTGTCAGCATACCAAATATTGCAAACTACATACATGGTGAAACAAGTCACCTTGTCAACACCCTTAGTCCTTCTATCACCTCACTCCACACCCCCCCGCTTCCTCAAACCCGCTCGGTGGGGTCCCCAACGTAGCGATGTGGCCCTGATATGCGATCTTATCGCTTGACAGACGGAACCAGTTGAAGGCGCCGGCAAATTACTGTATCAGTCGCAACCAATGCTGTGTAACAATGTGAACACTAAATCTAAATCACGTTTTGCCGATGCGCTGCCGCCCTCAAAAAGCAACTCCGATTCCCGTTCTCCCACTTTCAAATAAAATGTGCGAGTGAGTGACCCCATGGTTCCGAAGTTGTATTGCTAGTAGGGAATGAGACGAAAGGGTAAAGACAGAGTGTACAGACACGCCTGTAGATCCTGAGCCCTACCTCTTGAGGAGGGTTAGGGAGGAAGGGTCCGCGCAGCTGCAGTAGCGTGCCACTTCCTCAGCTCAAACTACACGGAACAACGGAACACGGGTGGAGGGTAATGAGATCTTGGTGACGACCATGCACTCGTCGCGCTGCCTCACGGCTAGCTGCAGCCAACGTCTGCAGGTCTGCACCCTCTCACTTATTGTATTTCCTCACAGCTGAGTAGCGGGACCTTGGCATCGCTGCAAGTGCTGCGCCTTAAAGGTAAAGCCAGAGGCGTATGGAGACACCACTCGGGTGCCACTACCCTACAGCCCTGTTTCCGTGCACTTCAAGGCGGAAAAAGTGGCATGCTACTTCAGAGGCATTCGCCTTGCACACGGTAAGAATCGTCTTGGAAGTGAGTGCACAGATTGTCCTCAATAAATGCCAGAACTCAGGTCAAGAAATGATTATTGGACGCAACCAAAGCAATTTCCTATCCAAAATGGATCGGACGACCTGTTTCTAACATCTTGTTCTGATGACTGAACCATTGGAGCACTATCTGGAGCTAAGTCAGGGAACGGAGAGCGTTTCATGCAAATTCTCTAAAATTCTTTTGCACCAAAAGGGAAAACGCGAGAGGTCTTGTATGGTTGTAGTGGGACACCCCCGAGTCGCGACACAACTCGTTCAGAGACAAACTGTACATTATGGCGAGTTCAGGTCATACACTTTGTGAGGACAGTGTACAGCATCGTTGTGCGAAACGCATAGGGGGAGGGGTTCGTACTCTGCCGCTGAGGAAGGAGGGGATCGCTGACTTTTCGCGGTTTTTTTCATTTCACATTGACCATATACCCCCTTCCCACTCGCTGGACAGCAAAATTTTTGGGGAAAGTAGAAAAATTCCACGGGGATTCCGAGAAAATTGGAAAGTTGGGGAATTGTAGGAAATTGCTAGGTAGATGTTGAGAAAAGAGGGGAGCGGGATGTACCGAGACCCTCCCTCGAGGGGGAAGTCGTACTGACACCACCATTAATCACGATGTTGCACCTTGGGTATAACGGTCGGCATTTGTTCGAGCGTGACGCTTTTGTCACTTGAGAGTACGCGAAAATGAGGCTAAATGATAGGCAAACCTGGATGCAGTTTCGTACTCGCCGTGCTACCCTCAATTGCCAGCGCATACCAATATCCCGCAGCAAAACAGGCACTCAGCAGTAGACAGCAAGCAGAAGTGAGAGGACGCAGACAGGTAACGCGTCCAGCTACGGTCAGGCGTGCGGCCATGTGAGGGTCCCCAACAGCACCCGAACAAGGCCACCCCCCACTTCCACTTTCGTGGAGGAGAAAGTGGCGCGCTACTGCAGCTGATGACCAATTCACCTCGCAAGGACCAGGATTCACAGGAGTGATTGTTGGGTCTGTCTCTGGGGTGCGTTCATACTTCGCGACAAGTCGCTGTTGGCGCGTGAACGAGCAGCTGATGGCGATTTTTTTCACATTATTGAACTGATATTTCACATATCTCGCATTTTGACCGAATTTTAGCAGCTAATATTCCTGCCTTTCCTTCCCTTTCCACTATATTGACGACATCCTGCTTATGTTGTAATAGGCAAATTTTTATCGTAGTAAACCGGAGTCATTTTTCTGTTCCACTCGTCTAATCCACTCATTATCCAAATTAGTCACTTTTTTCATTTTTTCTGCCCTCGCTCGTGCCCGATCATATGCCAAGGTCAGTAAAAGTAACTTTATAGTAGCGGTAACAACTTTTCGTATCATAGTCAGCGAAAACTAGTTTTGATAGATAAACAAAGACATTTTTGAAGTAGGGAGGGGGTCACGTGACTACATGAATTTCCGTGAGCTATTTAACTCCGGACGGCAATAGATAGAGGACAGTGGTTGGCAAGGCGTCCAATGGTGCAAAAACATGCGGCGAACTGGGAATGGGTTTTTTCTGGGGTAAGAGACTCCGAAATGGTGGAACACTTTTTTATCATGAGAGCAAAGTTGGAACGTGTGAGATCGCAGCGATCATAAAACTTGTACCGAATAAGGAATGATCGATGGTTTCTGTGTTGGGTAGAGCCGTTGGTTCTTGAGGCGGTAGGAGTTGCTTCCTCCGCTTGATAGTCGAAATTTCCTAGATAGCAGAATATCATGTGAAAAGAAGAATATCGCGGAGATGACTGATATGATCTCATCGTATTCCTCATGCACAGTGAACCCATTGCATGACTCCAGCTTGTTTAGGGACCAGCCCAGTTTGTCGACGCAGGGAAGAGGGGGATTTGGCCTTTTTACTGGTTCATTAATTCAGGTTTACAGGTCTCACTTTGGTAAAACCTGTGAACTTTTGTGAAGCTGGAGCAGCTCATCGAGCCGCCATGGTAAAACCTGTTAAGCTCAAGAAAAGGCTCTCTAGATTGGTCGACACGTGGATGGGAAGTAGGAATAGCATAGAATGCCCCTCCCCCGCTCCCTTCCACGTTGCCGAACCTCCCCAAGGATGAACGCACATGTTGTGGGCGCTCACTTTGGCGAAGAGTGAACGTCCCCTGGCACGGTGGGTGAATGGCAAGCTTCTCTACAGATGGTGAAGCTATGAACCGAACATTGACTCTTGAGTCAAATTAGTGGAACCTAAAAGTAGGAGTTACAGAGTTTATCCTACCAGAAGGAAACTTTGAAGCAGCGTTTATCCTAGAGATACAGTAGTTAGTGATAATCAGCGAATTTCGGGAAGTGTCGTTGCAGTGGAAGGGAGAGAGATAGAGAGAGAGAGAGCGAGAGAGAGAGACAATGAAATTTTAGGACTGTTGTGGGTAAAACAGAGTACGTCAGCAGTAAACAGGTAATGGGAATGGCGTATGAATTCATAGAGCCGTGAAAAGGCTTGACCAGGCAGCATACAGTACCTTTCTCAACTCCTACATTGAGACCACGTCTACT